TTGACTTTTGCTCTTTGGTTTTATCATCATATTTTTCTGCATTATTGTCTAATAGGTTTCATTTCTACGACTATTTCTTTATTTTTATTTCAGTTTTAGTTCTTTGCTGATCTGATTCCAATTTACTTTCCCACGTTTATTGTTATGTTTTCATTATTATTAATTAATCATTTTAACATTATGTTTTCATTATTATGATGAATTATTTGAAATAATCAAATTTTTCTTTAAAGTATTTTCTCAGTATTTTCCCATTTTTTTAATGGTCTTCTTGCCGGTCATCCTCAATTATATCTTTTTATCGTTTGTGTTGTTATGTATATTTTCATAATATCCGTTCTTTTCAGATTTTTTTATATTTTTGCCACTACGAGAAATTCTTCAAAGCAATTTTCTTTTTCTCCATTTTCAGATGAATGTTGTTTAGAATACTGTAGCCTGGGGTTGCTCTTGCTTTACTCTTTCTGTCCTTGATCCAAAGTTTATCGAATTTTTGTTCTTTTTTGTTCTTCAAATTGTTGTTTCCAACCTATTTTCTCTACTGTATCTCGTTCCTCGCAATTTTCCTTTCCTCCACTTTTACATAAAATCGTTGTTTATAGTAACAGTATACTGTAGAAACTCTCTCTCTTTTCTATCAAAAGTACTTCTTCTCGTCTTTGGCTCTGAGGCAAGTGTTTTTGCATTTTTTGTTTCAGCTCTGTATTCTTCATAATTTTCGGCATTTTTGTTCTACAAGCAGTAAATATTTACACGAGCCGTTTTTCGTTTTAATTTGAATTTAAATTGATTGTGATCATAATGATCGTCTGATTGATATCGTCTGATTCTTGTTTATTATCAGTATTTTGGACATTTTTGCTAACGTTTTATTTTCTTGCAACACTATAATTTCACCTATAATTTTCAATAACCAACTAAATTTCACCATTTTATCTTTTGTAATGTTATCTATATTTTAACAAATTATGTCGGCCTGATGTTAGTTTTATAGCTCGCTTTGATCATTGTGTTCATTACCACTTTTCTGTTTTCTTTTTGTCTTAAAATAGAGAGTATCTTCTTTCTATTTTAAATTTTAATAAATCTATCTTCTCTTCATTGTACTTTTCTGGTATATTTGTGTGTATGACTAAATTTACAACTTTTATGTGTCTGGCATTTTTATGTTCCCCTTATGCTTTTCGAATGATTGGTTCTACTTCTGCTTCTTCCGCTCCTGGTTCACTATTATCAAATTATCTTTTTGTTCACAGCTGTGACGTTTTTAATTTGTCCTTCTACTATTATTATTGTTTTTATAGAATTATTTGGTTCTCTTATGTGTGGTGCAAATCTTCCATTCTGTCTAGCTATATAATTATTTGAAACGCGGGCTGCAGCTCTACAGCCCAATTTTCTGGGCTGTAGATCATAATATATTGTTTCTTAGTCTCAAATATTGATCGTTCCTTTCTTTATTTATTATACGAAATGTGTCTTATTCATTGTTCTACATTTTTCTTGAAATTTCTGTTCAACGCTTTAATATTGCGTATTCCTATTTTCCATCATTAAATTTGATTTCATTCAGTATGTTTTTATTATTATTCATTTTCTGTACCCAGTCTGTACTTGATTGACTTTAACAAAAAAATTGAAGCGAATTGATCAGATCTATACACTGATAAGTTCACTGGATTAAAGGATGGGGCTGCTTAAAAATTCATTTTTTACATGAGTTCTAGTAGTTTGATTAAGGTGAGAGATTAGAGTTCGATGCACCTTCTTTTAATAGTCAGTATTGAAACCTTCTTGCTAAACCGGCTTCCACTGTCCAAATGGAAACTAAACGCCAACTCTAGAGCTTTACCGAAGTTTTACAAGTTATGGAAACTTAAGAGTTTTCAAGTTCGTTCCAATTATAACTAAATATGCGAGTTTCTCCTATAAATATTTTGGATCGCTTGCCCCTTCTGCCTATTTCTGCATGAGTGACTTACCTGTACAAAGCAGATTCAGAGATAAACTTTTATTATGCATGTGTCCACTTTAATTGAGTGAAGTAGAGGAAAAGTAAGACTTTTTTCGAAAAGCTTTTCTAGAGCCCCATAGCCAAAGAGTAAAAGATACAACGCAATGGTACTCGAAAGGAAGCGGAAAAAATGAATTTTGATACATGAAACTTCTTGTGTCTTTTTGCCTAATTGTTTCCTAGATGGAGGTCTCTGAATATCCGTAATTGGAACAAGCACGATACAAGTGACTGTCTTACTTTGCAACATTCTGAAGAAATAAATGTCAAATAACCACCAGCTGAAATATCAGCAGCAACTCGCAAAAAAATTTTTTGAAAAATTCTAGAAACTTGCATGGATATGACTGAAAATGAAAACTGTGCCCATTTATAGAAGCGACTTTGCCCTACCAAATGGAACCAAAGTTGTCGCACATCACAGTGAATTCTTATTTTCCCAACCCTGTAGATGAAGGTTCTTCAAGGCAAGGATTTTTTTGAATTGTACTCTTCGCTTTCAAGTTGTATAACTTTCAATCTAGCGCGGTTATCAAGTTGGAATTAACTCACCTTATAGAAGATACTTTAAGCTGAAAAACCTAAAATTTTCATCTCAACGAAAGTAAATTGTGATTTTTGGGAACTATGTAAATGGAGGGATTAAAAACGTTTGCTCCCAATTGCGGGCTTTGCTTTAAAAATTCCTAACTTCTATCTGAAACGGGAAGCCACTTCACACTGGCTCACCCTGTAGAACTTCTATGAAACTGGGAAATAAGGACTCATAATCTAAACTTGCTTCCTCATATAGAACCGCAACCGAAAGTGAATCTCCATGTTTTCTGGTCTCAGAAAATAAATGGCAAACCTGGGCCTGCCTCGACAGCTGCAAATTTTATGAAAAACTTAGAAAATTCCTAAAAATGGCCTGATCTTGGCTCAAAATCAAATTTTGTGCACAAATAGAGTGCACTTTATCCTAAAATATATCCACAACTTCACTGGTTTTTGAGAAAATTAGTCGCAAACGTAGGCCTGCATCGACAGCTATAAAATTCTATCGCAGATTTCAAAAAAATCGTCAAAACACCCTGATGATGACTGAAAATCTAAAATTCTCCTACTTATAGAACAGACTATGATCAACTAAGTCTATACAAAATTTACTTTGAACCTTGTTTGGTTTCTGAGAAAAGAACTATTAAAATTCCCGAGAATTTATTGAAGACGATTCAAATTCAAGATGTTTTCCATTTATATTACAAACTTTGCCTTACAAGCGCGATACAACAGCGACTGTCTTACTTTAAACCTTTCTGAGAAAATAAATGTCAAATCTCCACCAGCTTAAATATCCGCTAAAACCACATGCGATTTTGAAAAATTATAGAAAATTGCATGAATATGACTGAAAATCAGAACTGTGTCCAGATATAGAAGCCACTTTGCCCTACCAAATGCAAGCAAAGTTGTCGCAAATCACAGTTAATTCTGATTTGTAAAACCCTGTAATTGACGGTTCTACAACGCAAGGATTTTCTTCAAATGCACTCTCCGCTTTCAAGTTGTATAACTTTCAATTTAGCGCGGTTATCGAGTTGGAATTAACTCATCTTATAGAAGATACTTTAAGCTGAAAATCCTAAAATTTCCATCTCAACGAAAGTAAATTGTGATTTTTGGGAACTATGTAAATGGAGGGATTAAAAACGTTTGCTCCCAATTGCGCGCTTTGCTTTAAAAATTCCTAACTTCTATCTGAAACGGGAAGCCACTTCACACTGGCTCACCCTGTAGAACTTCTATGAAACTGGGAAATAAGGACTCATAATCTAAACTTGCTTCCTCATATAGAACCGCAACCGAAAGTGAATATCCATGTTTTCTGGTCTCCGAAACTACATGGCAAACTTAGGGCCTGCCTCGACAGCTGCAAAATTTTATGAAAAACTTAAAAAATTCCCAAAAATGGCCTGATCTTGGCTCAAAATCAAATTTTGTGCACAAATAGAGTGCACTTTATCCTAAAATATATCCAGAACTTCACTGGTTTTTGAGAAAATTAGTCGCAAACTTAAGTCTGCATCGACAGATATAAAATTATACCGCAAATTTCAAAAAAATCGTCAAAATACCCTGATGATGACTAAAAATCGAAAATTTTCCTACTTCTAAAAAATACTTTGTCCAACTAAATCTGTACAAAATTTACTCGGAACCTTGTTTGGTTTCTGAGGAAAAAACTGCTAAAATCCGGCATCAATTAGCAAAAATTCCCCAGAATTTCCTGAAGAAGGACAAACGTTGCCTTACAAGCGCGATGCAAGTGACTGTCTCACTTTGCACCTTTTTGAGGAAATCAATGTCAAACCACGACCAGCTTAAATATCCTAAGGATTCAGCCCAAAATTACTTCACCTGGTACACGAAAAGCATGAAAATGTCTATTATCTGAAGAGAATGAGACAGAAGGACAGGCGTCAACCAAGATGATCACTTAAGTTTCCAAGGGAGTTAGTCCAATCACATTTTCGATATCGTAAATTGAACGCGATAATCGGGAAATCGTCTTTTATGTGCAGAGGCCTGAAAACAATTGGCACGGAACGATTGAACCGCATTTATATGCCTGGATGAAGTTCTGCAAAAGTGAATCACTGACTACAGACTGTAGGGGTTTTTACAAATATTAATCGCTCAGAAAGATGACTGTGCAAGCCATTTTCGTTCTACAACCATTAATAACTCTGGCTGATGGTAAAACAGCACATGCTGGAAAGTTAGGGTTCAGTAGTTGATAACACTTGCCCAGTTGTTGATAAGTTTAATTAAATGAACACGGTTTTGTACCCGTAGGTGGTACCATGAAATACAAACAAAGCTGACAATTACGCACTAGCTTAATATGGTTTTAGCACAGTGTCTTGTAACTGTTAGCTCCGACTTCTTAGTTCAAGTGAGTTGAGTGAATATTTTATTTTGATTTATTTTCCTTTGCTTCTAGTGGTTGATGGTGGTTTCCCTGGCCGTTCTTTACAACGTGATTTTCGTACTGGGCAGAGCTGTTTTCTGGGAACTCAATAACTGCGTTCCCGCTTTATGGTGGAGCTTGGACTGCCTATGTGATGCGATATACCTCTTAGATGTTATAGTGCATGTGCACGAAGGTAAGCAGACAGTTTTATAATTTGCAATTTGGGTGAACGGAACAAGAGCAAATAATCCGTACGATTGGCCATTGAATGCAAAAACTGGTAATGAAAATGACCGCATTTAGAAAATTAGAGAAAATTAATCAACCCGCAATTCAATTAAGTCATTTGAACAGCAGATAGCGTGCCTGCCGGGGGTTGTTTGTCTGCAAATATCACTTAACCAGGGCAAATAGAGTCTAATTAAGCCCCATTTGGTTTTTCCCAGACACGATCGTAACTCTTATTAACTTTGACACTTATAGAGGAGGTGACCTCTCTGTTTTATATTAGGGCGGCGAATTGACTATGCAGTAACCGGTTTTGTAAATATTGTCGTCTAGAATCCACGTGCGACTTAGAATGGTATTACTTAATTGTACTTTATTCCCTAATTCTTCTTCTATACACGGTTACTGGGGCATACTGATAAAGTGTGTCTCAAAATGTCGAGTTTTTTAGACACAATTCTTCTCTTAAGCAATATTTTAAAGTATTTGGCAGGGTCTTGAAACCACTAAACATTGCAAGATTTAGGTTTCTTCAAATGGTTATAAAAACTAAAAACTTTAGTGGTTAGTTTTCGAATTGTGCTCTTCAAAACTTAAAATGTATAACAATGTCGCACATGTGTGAAATTTCCTTGCCTCCGGTAGGTTTAATCTGAAATCTTTGAGGTAATAAACGAACGGAATCCACGGTGTGTTGTTGAACAAAAGCAAACTGATTTTATTAATTAAACTCTATGATGATGTGAAAGTGTTGGCAACTAAGCAGCTGATTGCTGAAGTAATACTGAATGCAGCAGTAATAGAAATAAGCAATAACATCAGCCATGGCTACTGATTTCAAAGTTTCGCTAGGACCTGGAACTTTCGAGGAGTAAAGAACTGCGTTGCAGATCTTTACAGTTTTTACAGTTTATTTGATTTTATTTTATTTTTTTTCTTTACAGTCTGATGGTTAGATATGTGGCCTTTGATTTTGACTTTAGCTTAGAGTTTTGGGAATCTATACTTGAAAATTGATGAATTGCTAAAACATAATATTTACAGACTTTCGCGTTTTATCAGTCATTCAAGAGAAAAAAGCCAATTTTTCAATTATCCAGTTTGCTATATTTCCCCTAAATGTAATAACTTTGCGTTTTTAACGAAGTTTCGAGTTTAGTCATTCCTATAGGCAAAAATAGTCCACTCAGTAAACTTAAGGAAGTTTCGCGAACATCGAGTTATTGGCAATTAACTTTCACATTTGGTCTTTTATCAGATGTTTTACGATCAACTTTGAGAATTGATGTATTTCGTTTTAAAATTAAGAGAGCAACCGGGGTTAAATGGGGTTTGTCTTGCTCTGTGGAGAGAAGAAAAAGTACGCTGTTTAAATCAGGAAACTTCGATTTTGCCGTCTCATCAAGCGCCTGCCAATTAAATTATTTGCAGATTCGTTGCTTTCCAGAGCGCTTCTTTACAAGCTTGTTAAATATTCTTTTGCGTTTTGTCATTCTGCAAATAGAGAATTTAATTGCAGCAGAATTTTGCAAGCGCTTTATTCCAAAATGTTTAGAAATGTTAAAATTAAAATTGTTTTTAAATAATTTCCTGGAAATTTGAAGAGGTTTTGCGATTGTTGCGAGAGAAAGAGTTTTTTCTGTTGTGTTTGCTTAATGGCGAGTGGTTAGTTTAGTGATTACAATTTATTTCAAAAAAAATCTTCGCCGTTGAGTTAGTTAAGGTGGCTTGTTGATCCCAAAGGCGGTTTTATGCATTTTTATTTTTAAGTTTGGATTTTAAAGAATCAATATCCTGTCATAGCATCTTACAAAGTAATTTTATATTAAATTACGCAAATTGTAACATTATAATAGTCGGCTGTATAAATCGCAGGTTTCAATTTTTTTGTATCATTATGCTTTTGCCTATGTTATTATATGTTTCTAATTTCATTTAGTTCTTAGATTTAATACATTGCTGTTTACTTGCTGTTTACAATATTTCTTTGCAAGTTTGTTTCATAATTAATGCCACAAAAATGGGAACATTTTAGTCGACACAGTTTCACGTTTTGTCATTCTCAACAGCGCCAAAAGGCGAGTAATAAACTCTGGAAGTTTCAATTGTTCTTCGGATTTAGCGTGTTGTTTTGAGAAGCACCTCTGAACCAATTTGACTCAACTATTTCGTGCGTAAAGAATTAATAGTTCTGTAAGAGCTGAAACATTAAATTCGGTTATTTTGGATTATTCTTTTTTAATTAGTTTATTGTGTTTTTAAACCACTTTTTTTCATAGTGTTTCGCAACTGCTTTCCCCAAAATTATGGGATTTAGACGCAGGCATTTACCTTTTTTGATAATTAATTTATTAGAGAGAATTCTGAAATTTTTTATTACCAATTTACATGTTTACACAAACATTTATTATCAATTACTGATTATCAGCAAATGTAATCACATTTATAACAAATTTTCTCTTATAATTAATTGTTTATAGTTATAATAAAGCGAGAAAACTTGCATATTTCATGATTCAAGTGTTTTACAAGCAATTTTCAAATTTAAAATAATAAAATGAATTGATGAATAATTATTCTTTCACCATATCGGTGTCTTCATAATAAGAAATTCTGATTGATCATGTGCTATGTGAGTGACACCCTGTATATTCAATGTGGAGTTCTTACAAACATTTTTTAAATGAATTCCCCAAAAGTTGAAAAATCTACAAACTTTTGCCTTTTGCCATCCTCTAGAAAGGCAAACAATGCAGGATTAAACCCTGTAAAGACTATAAAAGTTTTAATTTTCCAGGCATCATCGAGGATTTCAGCAGTAATTTTCAGATTTGTTATGTTATTTTGATTAACAATTCCTTACCTACCAAGAGCTCATTCATTTGTAATTAATTCCCTAAAATTATAAACTTTGAAGTTTCTATCACCACCTAAGAGCAGAATAGTCGACAGTAAGAAGTCTGAATCTTTCAGTTATTAGCATTAAGCCTGTATTGGGATCAAATATCAATTAATTTTCCATATATTCTCCAGTATGTTTGCCAGAAAATCGTCAAACTCCTTTCGATTTGCAAAATAATTCGCAGCCAGACACAAATCCGGATTAAAAGAAACGCAGCGCTTCCAATTGGATTCCTGCTGGCCTTTATAGAGCACGCTAGTGACGTACATCGGAGATGGACAAATATTTGCCGGTGTCCACCACGAGCAAACTAATTTTCCTGCGGGAAAGTTATGAATGATAATTTTTCCTTTTTACGCGTCTAAGGAGAAATAAATTTTCTTAACGTGTCAGCAAACATTGTAGGTTACCGTTGGCCGATCCTTTGTTGGTACCTACTCATGTTATTAAAAAACAGGGAAGGACGAGACGCATAAATCGCCTGGAAAAATGTGGAATTGTGAATTTATGGCTTTACCACACTTAATTGCTTTTATAGCTAATTATGCTTTGAATGGCCATAACCTGTGCATCTAATGGCGTGTTTTGTGATCATCAAGGCCAACAATTTTAATTAATTCTTCTCATGCTGTGCTTTTCCAGGTTACCTGGAACAAGGCCTACTAGTGACCGATCCAACGAAACTAAGGGCCCACTATCTACAGTCCAAATCATGGAAAACGGACATTTTAGCGATAATTCCAACGGATATTGCGTACATTTGGTGGCAGCCGTTTGATTGCCTACAGCAAGTGCCATGCAGTGTAATTGTGCGAATAAATAGACTATTTAAATTACCGCGATTGTGGGAGTGGTTCGAAAGGACAGAAACGGACACCAACTACCCGAATGTGTTCAGAATTTGCAAAGTGGTGTTGGCCATTTTGGTGCTGATCCATTGGAACGCTTGTCTTTATTTCGCCATTAGTTATGCTATCGGTAAGTAAAAATGTGCGAAACAATAGAAGAATTGAAATAAACCACAAGTTAACAAGAACATTCTGCGTGCTACGGTCCAACTGCTTTGGAAACCCATCTGCAATCTGTCCGCTCTGTTAAGATTTGTTAGAATAAGTTTTAAAAGCTTTTAACAGGGTACGCCAAGAGAATAAAGGGCTGATTTACGACTTGTACTGGGTGAGTACATTTCGATGCTCGAATCTAAAATCAGAGGTTCTTAAAGTCGAATCTAAAACCCCTAAATTAATTTACTAGTTGCAAACTCGGCGCGCCCAGCAGGTGCAGTAATAAAAATGAATGATCTGCACGCAAGCTCCCATAAGATGGGAACAGATTCCTCATTCAAACTATGCATAGTCTGTCCCAAGCTACTTGGCAGTGACGTCATTATTTGAGACACCAAAAGCAAATTTACTCGTGTCCGCGATTGGTTTAAAAGGTTTTTTGATATTGCGTGCATCCACAAGCTTAAGCGTTTGTTCCCGGTGAGTTGAAAAGATTCACTTTTGTTCAGTTAAATATTATTGTTAAAGCACGGTTTTATGGCCGTTTCAAAAACATTAAAATCGCATTTTTAACTGAAAATGAGGCTAAAACAAGAAGCGCTCACATATTGCTGACATTTTTGGAGCTATGATTACATCGATTTAACATAAATGCCTGTTTTTGCATTTTTTAGCTTCGAAATTTTGTTCGTTTAGCATGATAATAATTCTCCGCCGGTCATGGAAAATTGAAATTTCAGCAAATGGAGAAATCACGATTTGCCAATTAATGGAAAACTATCAGCTCAGAAAACTGCAAAAGTTCCGACTTTACAAAGTTCCATACCTGATTAGTTCTTTACCGGACTTTAATGAAAATCAGTGTTTTATTCATTGCTTTCTTTAAAATTAGAGACATTTTAGTGGTATTGAATTTGGTAGCGAAAAGTTCGTGCAAACCACATTAAATATTTTGAGTTTAAAACATTATCAGGACATTTTACAGAAAGACTCAAAATTGGAGCATTTTCTTTGAACATCCAATGAAGGTAATTTTACATTTTCCTTTGAAACAGTAATTTCTTCGGTTCGAGATGAGCTAGGAAAATGCGGATTTTTGGATGTTATTGCGAACAGTTGGTGAAAACTATACTAAAAGTTTGGAAACATTATCAGTATATTTTACAGAAAGTTATTTTTTTAAGTTTTTTTTTAAAGTTTTACAGATATTTTACAGAAGTAAAACTTTGTGCGTTTTCTCCCGAAAAGCCAATAAAGGCAATTTTACACTCTTTTCTAAAAATAGCAATATCTTAGGTTTAGAGTGAGCTAGAAAAGAGCCGATTCTTGGATTTGATAGCGAAAAGCTCGTGTAAATGACGTTGAAAGTTTTGAGTTTCCAAAATTATTATTATTATTACTATCATTATATTTTAAAGAAAGTCTCAAACTTTGTGCGTTTTCTCTGAAGATCCCATAAAAGCAATTTTACACTCTTGTCTTGAAACTGTAATTTCTTCGGCTTGACATCAGCTAGGAAAGTTCGGGTTCCCGAATTTTACAGCGAATAGTTGTAATACAAACAATACAATACAAACTCTATTGAAAGTTTCGAATTGTCAGAATTCTGAGGAGAATTTATAGAAAGTTTCAAACTTAGAGCGTTTGTATAAAACGTTTGTGAAAAAACCGCTGGAAGCAGTTTTTCACTCTTAACTAAAGTGTAATTTTTTCAGCTTGTAATAAACTAAGAAAGCGCGGATTGTTGGATTTTATAGCGAAAAGCTCATGCAAACTGCGTTGAAAGTTTCGAGTTAGGAACATTATCAGGATATTTTACAGAAAGTCTCAAACTTTTCGCGTTTTCTATGAAGATCCCATAAAGGTAATTTTACAATCTATTTTAAAACAGTAATTTCTTCGGTTCGAAATGAGCTAAGAAAAAGCGGATTTTTGGCTTTTATAGCCAGCGGTTTACGAACACCATACTAGAAGTTTCTTTTTACCTTTTACAAAAATTCTCAAATTTAGAGCGTTTGTATAAAACGTTTGTAAAAAAGCCGCTGAAAGCAATTTTACACTCTTAACTAAATTGTAATTTTTTCAGATTGTAACATACCAGGAAAGCGCCGATTGTCGGATTTTATATCGAAAAGCTCACGCAAACTGCGTTGAAAGTTTCAAGTTAGGAACATTATTAGGCTATTTTTCAAAAAGTCTCAGAAATTGCGCGTGTTGGCTGAAGATCCAAGAAAGGGAATTTTGCAATATCTATTAACACAGTGATTTCTTCGCCTTGAGAATACCCAGGAATGTACTGATTTTTTATTTTTTATCGGACGGTTCATATAAACTATACTGGAAGTTTCGAAATCTGAGCATTATCGCGATGTTTTACAAAAATTCTCAAAACTTGGCCCGTTTTTTATATAAAGCCTCTGAAGGCAATTTTACGGTCATGTCTGAAGTATAATTTATTCGGCTTCTTAGAAACTAGGAATGCGCTGATTATTGGATTTTATAGCGCAAAGCTCATGAAAACTGCGTTGAAAGTTTCGAGTTTCGGAACATTATCAAGATATTTTATAGAAAAACTCAAACATAGCGCGTTTTATCTGAAGAGCCAATAAAGCCAATCTTAGCCTAGCTCTTGCCTAGAAACAATAATATCGTCAGCTTGGAATGAGTTAGAAACAAGCCGATTTTTTTTATTTTTTAGCAAAAACTACTTGTGAACTACATTGTAAATTTCGAGTTTGCATGTTATCAGGATATTTTACACAAAGCCTCAAACTTAGTGCGTTTTCTATGGAAACTCTCTTGCCTGAAAACCGTGATTTCTTCGGCTTCGGACGAACTAGGAAGGAAAGTGCCGATTACTGTATTATATAGCGAACAGTTCGTGCGAACTAAGCAGAAAGTTTTGAATTTTGAACATTATCAGGATATTTTACAGAAAGTCTCAAACTAAGCGCGTTTCAGCTGAAGAGTCAATAAAGGCATTTTGAAAGTCTTGCCTGAAAACAGTAATTTCTTCGGCCTCGAATGAGTTAGAAAAAACCGATTTTTGAATTTTATTGCCAAAAGTACTCGTAAACTACATGGGAAGTTTAGAAGTTTGAACTTCATTAACATATTTTAAGTTTTAAACGCAAACTTAGCGAATTTTATGTGAAAAGCCAATAGAGGCACTGTTGCCTAAAAACGATAAAAACGAAAAAGATTAAGCTGATATTTGGATTTGATGTAGAAAAGTATGCGCAAACCAGAATGTAAGTTTCGAGTATTGCACTTTGTCAAGCTATTTTTCAATTTTTTTTGCTTAAAAACCGCAATTTCTTGGGTTTGGAACCACGAAAATGCCGATGGATGGTTTTTATAGCGAATAGTTAATGCAAACCGCATTAAAAGTTTCGAATTTTGCGCATTATCAGTCTATTTTTTTAAGTCTTAAAAATTGCGCGTTTTGTCTGTAGATCCAAAAAAGGGAATTTCAATCTCTGTTAAAACAGTAATTTCTTCGGCTTGAGATTAGCTAGGAAAGTACCGATTTTTGGATTTTATAGCGAACGGTTCATGCAAATTATTCTGAAAGTTTCGAAAGCAGAGCATTATAGTAAAGTTTCACAAAAATTCTTAAAATTTAGCGCGTTTTTTATACAAAGCCTCTGAAGGCAATTTTACGGTCTTGCCTGAAGTGTATCTTCTTCGGCTTGTAACTTGTAAGAAACAAGGAATGTGCCTATTATTGGATTTTAAAGTGAAAAGCACTGTGTTGAAAGTTTCGAGCAAGCACATTATCAGGGCATTTTGTAGAATGGCTCAAACTTTGTGCGTTTTCTCGGAAGAGCCCATAAAGGCAATCTTACGCTCTCGCCTAGAAACAGTAATTTCGTCAGCTTGGAATGAGTTAGAAAAAAGCCTATTTTTTAATTTTTTAGCAAAAAGTGCTTGTAAACTATATTGCAAATTTCGAGTTTTGCATTTGATCAGGATATTTTACAGAATGTCTCATACTTAGTGCGTTTTCTATGGAAACTCTCTTGCGTGAAACCTGTAATTTCTTCGGCTTCGGATGAACCAGGAAAGTGCCGATTATTGTGTTTTATAGCGAACAGTTCGTGCACACTATGTTCAAAGTTTCTAATTTTGTACGTCATCAGGATATTTTACAGAAAGTTTCAAACTTTGCGCGTTTTCTCTGAAGGTCCAATTCTAGGCTCACTCGGTAATTTCTTCGGCTTGAAATGAGCTAAGAGAGTGCTGATTTTTTATTTTAAAGCAAAAAATTCGTGCAAACTATATTACAGGTTTCGAATTTTGAACATCATCAGGATATTATACAGAAAACTTAGCGCCTCAAAACGGTGGAGAAATCGAAGTCTGTGAAGGTCTTCGGTCTAGAGTACGAATAGTTTTTACTTGATAAAGGAACAAATTGATAGATAAAGATATTGCTATGCGGATTTCAGTATATTTTCGCCAATTTCTATAAGGTTCTATCAAGTAAACAAATCGGTTGAAAACATCCTCCACAAACTGTTTTTTTTTTATTTGCAGGGTTTGGCACTGACAACTGGGTTTACAACCTGGATGGACCAAAGAACTCAACTTTAGCACGCCAGTACATATACAGCTTCTATTGGTCAACATTAACGTTGACGACAATCGGTGAAACTCCCGTACCGGAAAACGATGCTGAATATCTATTTGTAGTGGCCGATTTTCTCGCTGGGGTCCTAATATTTGCTACCATCGTCGGTAAGTTCAATGCATTTACCTATGGCAAATTCGATGTGCATTTAAAGCTTCTCTCAAATCCTGCTGGGCTGTTAAAGGCCAATGTAAGTCCAAAGTTGCACGTTTACGTAGGTAATCTCGTTTCGGCTTTAACATGCCGGTTACTTGAAAATTCTCTTCCTCCAGATCAATGCCCTTTGAATAAGCAAAGGTCCTTTCGATTTCAGGAAAGCATTTCGTGTAAATCAATCTGGAAGCTAAATCGACTAGCTTTGTTTGCACTCCTCTTATGTTTTCTGTGTCGTTTTATTTACGCAGTTTATTTGAATCTTCTAAGAGTCAATAGATACCTACTAGGTTTTTTGTTTCATAGTTAACACTCCTGGGTTTTTAAGGCATTTGCTTTAAAGCATGCTTTAATTAACTTAATGGCCATTGTTTAATCCATCTTTGCACCCTTAACATTAAACCCTTACCTGAAGACCGGCATACTAAATGAACAGCCTGTATAAATGCATAATTTACATTGAGGTTGGTGGGCTTAGACATGAAAATATCTTTTGAACAACAGGGTTTTCTCTGCCAAAATCCAAACTTCCTTTCCTGGTTTGTCCATAAACTTCTAATCAGTTCTTTATGACTGAGTCTTACATCTATTAGAGTAACCTTGCTAAGTCCCTTAGTACGAATTGTTTCTTGTTTTTCCGCGTTTGCTCTTTTCTAATTAACTTCATAGCGGCATGCATTTTTATTTATCAGCTTTTTATGCGTGTTTAATTAACGGCTAATGTTTGACTTTTTAGGGTCAAAGCATTGGAAAAATTGGAAGTTTCAAGAAGAAAATGGATTAATAATTGAGGGTTAATAACTCTGAGGTTCAATGAATCTTTGTGGTCAGTTTCAAAATACTCTCGTTTGTCTCTGAGGCAAAGGCCAATTTTACATATTAAATACTGCGGCATATGCCGCTAAAAAAGACGATTTGGCTTAACTTTTATAAAGAAAAATTGCCTGACTACTCTGTTATTTTTGGATCAAAAAAATCGATCTAACTAAGGTGGTAAATTCTTCAGTGTCTGGTGCAAATACTACCAGAACTTTTTATTTGGTTGCTGGAATCACCTGATTCTTTTGACGTGCTGCACTAATCCATTTTTTGCTCTTTCTTAAATCTTGAAAGGTGTGCAGTTTTTGCGCAAAAAACTGCTGTTTTCTTACATTTTCTGATAGCTATCAATACTTTCGCTCAAGATTTATTTTGTTTTCTTTCATTTTCCTAGGTATATTTAACAATTTTTTCTTTTTGCTTTGGTATTCTGTATCTGGTGATTCGTGGCTGTGCAGTTTTTCATGAGGCAAAACGGTTTTTTATTTTAAACTTATGCCTTCTCTTAAAAGCAGCTTTGAACAAGTGCCATTGTTACTTCTTTGCTTAAAGACATCGTTTTCATCCGAGTTGCGCTCCTCAGACATTCGCCGAAAAGAAGCGAGTTTTTAGCAAAATATATAGTCATCGCGTAGGAACAAATCTGCAGCAAGTTTCCTGAAAATTCATCTAATCACTCTACTGATATTCAGTCGATTGCATTTTCCGAATAAAATACAGCTTTGGTTACCCAATGATTCCAAGCAGAGACCACAAAAGCAAAATGCTAATAAAATTCTCAAAACTTTGGCGAAAAATTACTAATAAATTGTTGTTATCAAGAACACCACTTGTATGGTCTAATATACTAGTCTATTATAAAGAGTTGTTTTCATTGTAGTAGAAAAATAATTAAATCATGCGACTTAGTGATCTTTTGATTGTTATTCCTATTATTGAACAGTCCTTTCCGTTGCATAAATACATGTCTATGAACTAGCATTCTTGGATTAAAACTTCCCATCAAATATTTCATGTTCTCCATATGGATAAGTGCACGCTTTATTGCAACATGCCAGCTAGTTATTTTTTATGAGCCCGCCAATTGAGATCGTCTCCAAATGGACTCGTTCATATTACTAGGTATAAAGTGGAGATAAATCATTTATGGGGTTATTCTATGAAATCCGCATTTATAAAATTTCCCAAGGAAAATTCGCCTGGCAAATCACATTATTCACTTAAAAGGAAATGAGTGTTCCAAACAAGTAAACATTCTACCAGATATCGGGAAATGTTCATCCATCAGAAGAATGTCTCATGCATCAAATAAAATTCCGAGCTGATTATGATTTAATCAATATAGAGATAATTCCATTCGGGGTCTATTTCGGCACACATCAAATAAATGTTTTAATCACGGTGGGCAGGGAATAGATTATGGGAAATTGGCTATTGCCCTTGTGGCATTAAGTTAATGCAAACGTTACTAATTTGTCGATTTGCAGAAATGTTAACAATTCTATAAGGAAGCTTCAGTTGGTTGCCGATTCCTTGGTCGATTAGTTTAAACAGTTAGCAGATATGTAAATTGTAGATTCCTCTAAAAACTTCGTTAATTCGAAACTTTCTATTTGTTCCTCAAACAAATAAGTATTAATAATAATACGTTATTTAGGCATAACTAAATTGGCGAAAATGCCATCATTCTCGAATGGAACAAAATGCTATAAATTGCAAACTAAGCAAGAAAACATGCTCGGAAATCCCAAGAGACAAAAGGCCCTTTGTGAATATGTGATGGGATAATAAACTCATTAGCCACATTCTTCATGGGGGTGAATAATGATGTTTATTACATTATTGGCAAACTTTGGATGATTAGGTGTTGAAATGGAGTTGACGGCGGTCAAAGTGGGTGGAACCTAAATAAACCCATTACTAGAATTACTACGATTAAAAATTCGAGGAAGCGAGCAATACCCCCTTCATGCTAAGCTAAATCGAGTATTTTCCTTATTATTCATATTCACTTATATATTTTATATCACAGAGCGTTTGGTAAACCTGTGCAATTTTTGGACAAGTAATTTTGTATTTTAGAATATTAAGAAAATTGCGTCGTTAATTTAGATGAAATCTTACATATTTGGGCAACAATACATATTTATGGCAATTAGCACTATTCTACAAAATTTTAAAACAAAAAATTATACTCAGTTTTTATGTTTTGGTACAATTTCAGTCTCACGAGAAAAAGTTGGTTGACGAATATTTTCTGCAAAGAACCGTTGTAGAAAAAACAGTTAAATCGATTAATTGCATGTATCCATCGAGTTTTAATTAATTAGTAGGGTTTAGATTTGCATAAGTTGCACTTAAAACGCGAAAAAACGTCAAAAATATCGATCCCATTAAAAAAAATATTACTCACAAAATTAACAAGAATCTTAGATAGATTTTGATTTAAATAGGAACACATTTCGAGATATACTAATCTCAAGCATCTTCAGGACCAGGATCAGCTTCAGTCGGAAAATACGAAACTCTACTGAATTCTGTACTTTATTTCGATATGTGTTTAACATCGGCTCGATTGGCACATAATATTATATTAATTTCTAAACATAGAGCTTTTGGCTCAAATATAACGCCGCCTTTTTGGTCATATCTCAAAAACCGTTTGAGCTACAGAGCTCGTTTTCTTACCACTGGATAGAGAATTTCCATTCACAGCGTGAAACAAAATTGCATAAGAAAATACTGCAGTTTTTCCAGCAAAAAATAAATTTCAGTGTCTCACATTTAGGTACAGTACATTTAGGCCTTTGTTTCAAACACGATGCCAGCTTTTCGCTCATACCTCAGATGAAAACTGAGTTTGAGCGCTTGTTTTTACACCTCTAGATAGAGAATTAATTAGCGGATTTGCGCCCTAAAATATTACAAAGGAAAAAGGGGCAATTTTGAGAAAAAAAGGCGAAATGTTGTCATTCTCTTTTACTTTTATGCTGTTCTGGCAATATTGGGACATTTGGGCTTTTTGGTCATGTAACTCAAAATCCATCTAAGCTAGAGCTCTCCTTTTTATAGATAGACAAAATAAATGAAATCGCCATTTCGTAAGTGAAACTTATGCTCGGAAATCGTGCCAGTTTAACATTTAGATACAAAACAAGGCCCCCCATGTAAATGTAAATGGGAGTTTTCTTCCACTTTTTTCTTGTGGATCCGAACTTTTCATTTTCATCTCTAAGTCGCTTTTTTTGAGTTAAAATGCAGTGAATTTGCTTGTATTTTAAATAATTGTGTGCTGCTGCTATTTCCTACATTTTCTGGCAAACTATCAATTCTCTCGTTCAAAATTTATTTAGTGTTCTTTCATTTTCATAGGTTTATTTATAATTTTCTGTTTCGCTATTCTGTATATGGTGATTCGTGGATGTGCTGGTTTTCATTAGGCAAAACGGTTTCTGATTTCCAACTTACGTCTTGTCTTAAAAGAAGTTTTGAACAAGGGACTTTTTACCTCCTGCTTTCCTAATCTTCATCTCTTTTCAAGAATTCCCTTGAATCTGATAGAACTTCATACGCTGCCTGAATTTGTCTTTCTTTCGCTAAATCCACTACTTCTGTTCATGAATAAGTGAATCTAAAATTATTTATATAAAAAAGGTATTTTATCAGCATCAAAATCTGGCCTGCTTAAACAAACGCGAAATTCGAACTCAATTTTCAAAAATTCGGCAAATCTGATTGCTGATGGCCGGGAAATCAAAACTTTCGCCACTTGCAGAAATTGATTTTCTTCACAAAGTTAAGCCCAAAGCATTTCTTGACGTTTTTTTTTAATTTCTGAGGAAATTAATTAGAAAGTCCCATCACCCTAAGTAAGAGCCAAAATCAATCGAATTCTTCAAAAACGAACAATTCTTCAAAAACTGCCTGACAGCGACTCAAAATCGAAACTTTTTGCACACATTGAATGCACTTTTGCCTACAAAATAGGCCTGAAAGTGAATCTCCAGCTTTACTGGTTTCTGAGGAAATAATTGCCAAAATCCGGCCTGTGTAAACGAACCCCAAATTCGAACTCAATTTTCAAAAAATCCGCAAATCTGATTGATGATGGCGCGGAAATCGAAACTT